TCAACTGTATTGTCATGTACTTCTCGTAGGAGGAGTCAGTCTGGCGAGAACGATACAGATATATAGATATTGTAAACGAAAAGTCATTCAACCATAAATATAGTTACGAGATAGTTTATAAAATCAGGTCGAAACTATTATCTTAAATCATGACTAACATCAGTATAACTTGATGAATCTTAGGAATTGGTGTCACAGTCTGAACATAAGACGTCATAGAGGGTGGTGCTCTATAAATCTATACAGCTCGGAACTGGGTAAGATTTTTTCTAATTTATCAGATAGTTGTACGCTGAAAAGTTAGTCAGATCGTGTATATCCATTTAGTTAAACTTATTTTTGTGAAAAAAGTAAACAGAAATTTCCCCTAATTTTTAAGTGATCGATTCATGATTTCCTTTCGTCATCCTGGCCTTCTCGTGAATGTTAAGGCATTTTGATCTCTATGCTTGATGTTGTTGACGTGACGTTAGTAAATTGTTGACATGGTGTCATTGAATTGTTGTGACGTCATAGAGTTGTCATGCAGAAATCACTCTTTCTCTTATCCACTCTCTACAAGAGTTGTCGTTCCTTAGCAGCCACAATACACCCCTGTAAACGCCTCACGGACGACAAACATTTCACATCCCATTCATGGTCAAATTTGACGTTGAGTAAAACTATGACGGCATCCCTGACAACACCAACGAAGGACACAGCTGAAGACTGTTTTGTATGCTATCTATCAGCTTAACAAACACCATTTGCACTTTTTTTGAGATGTTTTGTGCCAGTATCATAGCCATTCACCATTAGTTATCATTGATATCAATATATATGATCGTGTATCTCCAGAACACGTTGGTGCATGAAAAAGTGAACAATTCATAATGTTTATGGCTATATAAACTTACATGGTCATTTTCCAGATGAACAAACATCAGTTTTCAAAATAATAATAAATAAAACACAAAACACGTGAGATTTCCTTGTCTCGCCCTAGGGTTGAGACAAGCTACCCGTGCTCTTTGCACGTTCTGAACACAATTTCAATGACGTCACTGACTTTTGACCCGGAAATGGGACTACTTTTATGTGGTCATACACACGCAATAGTTACTACTTCTGAAATATTGTTAACCACAAAACTGAAAATCCTGTTTTATCACCAAGACTGAAACTTTATTTAAAATATCAACTGTATTTTTTTACGTTTAATTGGCAGGTACACTAGTACTTTATTTTACCTGTGGAGAATAGCCTCGCTCAACTTATTAATATTCACAAGATAATGACGTCAAAATATTTGTGACGTCATCAAAACCATCCATTCGCCATCCACGTGTTTTTATTTAAATACAATACACTTTGTCTCGGACAACAGGGTAAGGGATAAAAAAAAACATTCACTCCCTTTAGGGTCAGATAATGTCCTAGGTAAGAGAAATATCCGTTATAGACCAATATCTGCAGTATGTCCGCAGTAGTCCGAAGTCTCGTGTGTGGATATATCCGTTATAGTCCGAAGTCTCGTGTGTGGATATATCCGTTATTGTCCGAAGTCTGGTGTGTGGATATTTCCGTTATAGTCCGAAGTCTCGTGTGTGGATATATCCGTTATAGTCCGAAGTCTCGTGTGTAGATATATCTGTTATAGTCCGAAGTCTCATGTGTAGATATATCTGTTATAGTCCGAAGTCTCATGTGTAGATATATCTGTTATAGTCCGAAGTCTCATGTGTAGATATATCTGTTATAGTCCGAAGTCTCGTGTGTGGATATATCCGTTATAGTCCGAAGTCTCGTGTGTAGATATATCTGTTATAGTCCGAAGTCTCATGTGTAGATATATCTGTTATAGTCCGAAGTCTCGTGTGTAGATATATCAGTTATAGTGATGTTTTCTGTATTTGAGTATCCGTAATGAAGCGATGTCTCCTGTACCGTAGTGTCCGTAATGAAGCGATGTCTCCTGTACCGTAGTGTCCGTAATAAAGCGATGTCTCCTGTACCGTAGTGTCCGTAATAAAGCGATAACTTCTGTATTGGAGTATCCGTAATACAGCGATGACTTCTGTACCGTAGTGTCCGTAATAAAGCAATGTCTACTGTACCGTAGTGTCCGTAATAGACAATGTCTCCAGTAATTGAATGTCTACAGCGGATGGACGTTTTGTTTATGGTTTAGTATGCGTATCGTTGTCAGTATCAGAAATTGTCTTTAACATTAAGAATCAGCCGTTGAACCTGGATGCTACTTTGAAATTTCTGCATAGTCGACTGATGTAGAAGTTCAACCAAAAACACAATTGGTGATAAAGCGATGCAGACATAAGATCATGGATATGGAAGTAATGTAATGATTGGAACAAATGTGTCTGATTTTGTAAATAGCGGAGATGAATTGTTCGTTACGGTCCTAACTAGGGAAATCTGTCCACCAATTGGAGCGCTCCTTACTGGAGATACTAAGTGACGGTCTGATAGATTTTATGTTAAATTTGATAGCAGCTGTAACGTGTGTAGAATAGGTGATTTGTCTGCCTTGGATACAGACACAGATGTACAATATGTCATTACAAACCCTATTACTACCACTTAAATACATTAATTAGAACTAGACCCTGGTATGTTCCGTATCCGAACGTTTCCTATTTGGTGCCATTTGAACGGCTTTGCTTCCCGTCACTGAGAAACGGTTTCATTCGAGTGATGTCGTACCCTTTGTTGAGTCCCATTGTCATCTGTGATTATGTATTGTTGTTGTTAGCTCATGAGGTCCAAAGTTTCGTTGTAAACCACATTTCTAAAAATCACTTCTAGTTTTGATAGAGTGAGCAGATTTTGACTTAGGTTGGTCAGAAGCATCCCTCGGGGAAGGTTAATATCTTTAGATTAAATTATGAGTCTGGGGTCCCGTTATTTGAGATGCGAAATCTGATAGGAGGTTAAGCTTTTTTTATTATTTTATTGAATGAGTAGAGGAAAGAGGTGGGGTTAATATCTATGTGAGCGATACAGACCTAATGGGCTTCCTGGTATATCGACCTGACCAACGTGTACTGAAATTATGGTTAGTAGAAATATGTAAGGTATTTTTACAACACTTGGCACAAATGGTAACGGATGGGACATTGACGTAATAACTGAGAGAAGATATCTACAATATCATCATACAGCTGCAGAATGCACTTCATTTCACATATTGAAGTGGCACAGAAAATGTTCGATGAACACATACACACACCCTCACGCACACAGACGCTATTGTATTTACTAGCGTTTGTATCAACCGTACATAAAATCGTATTTAGAGACCTAAACGCTGTTTTTAACCGTCAAAACACGAAATGATTTGTACTAATGTTGAGGAAATGAAACACGACTCGGCCCCTGTGGAGTATTTAGCGCTGGTAACATACATTTTACAACATGTGTGTTGTGAAGACCAACTCATCCGACTGGCATCCCCGAGGTCACACAACTTATCAAACAAACAACATAAAATCTTTAAATTCAAGTAATTGTATTGAAGAATGATAGAGTGACTTAACGCAAACAAGTGAACGCGATCTGTCAAGTATTAAGAAATAAACCGATTATACAACATAGTGTATGGAGGCCTGGTAGTGTCATCCATCATACCGGGCTTGTTTTATAGGGCCTGGTACGAGCCAGTGTGCTAGATATGGCATGGTATATTGAATTCCAAATGGGGGCAAATCCACAAAGAATAAAAGTGATTAATACTCGCAGTATAGGATGTGAATGACATGGTCGGTGTAGAACTCCCGACAGATATATGAAACGAAACTTTGCAACTGAAGCTGACACAGGGGAAGTTTAAAACAGATAAAATTAATCTCCGTAAAATTTGAAATGGAGTAGGTTACAGATATAGAGCGTTAGATTTTTGAATAAATTTTCAGACGTATTGAACAAGGCTTTTTCATTGATCCGGTAGGAATCGAACCCTTAACACCTCGCTTTTGAGACTTGCTCTCTACTGAATGTTAACAGGGTTACACATTTATACGATGAAAGCTAGATAAACAATCAGGGTAGGTGGTGAATAGACGTTGGAAATAGCTAATTGGATGTGGTAAAATGACTCAAATATAAATGTGGAAGATAGGAGTATTTCATATAGTACGTATGTATATAGAGGCCATATAAAAGCTAAGCGACAAGACATCGTAAAAAATCCGGCTCATACAATAAAAGTTGGCAAAAAGGATTACACATTACGTGCAATCAATTCTCTCCTGAAGTTTCTGGGAAGAATATTGGTGACTTGTTCTTAACTCTGAAACTCCTCGGAGAAACAGCGATCCTTTCAGAAATGTGCAAATTTTGATCTAAGTCCCTGACGGGATTATGTTTGTTGCAGTGCTTACAAGGATTATCTAAAAATAGTAACTTTGGTCTTGACATTTATCCTACGTCTTGACGTTCTTAGATATTACGGTTCTTTTATCACTGACAATGATTTTCTAAAAATAGAAACGGTGACCTTAACCTTTACCGTACAACCTTAAAACGCGAACTCGTTCAGGATTGAAATCGTACACACGCATTACAACATCCCGATATCCCCACGATAACACATTCCAATTCCAGTTTATGTAATTATATTTCACAGGTAAAAGAGTACCAAACTATTAGTCACACAAGTGAAACATATTTTACTGAAAGCACTGTTAATGTTCTACTGTATAAAATCACTGCCATTGACTATGTTAGAGAGAAGAAGAAGAAGAATAAGAAGAAGAAGAAGAAGAAGAAGAAGAAGAAGAAGAAGAAGAAGAAGAAGAAGAAGAAGAAATAGGTACATAAGAAATATACTATCTTTGTTTAATGTGACGTCATAATGATGATGACGTTTGTATTATGTCGTTGACAACGACGCAAATTCTGTCAACGTCAAGAATATTTGATAGCAACCGTGGGACGTCGCCATTTTAGTTTTGCTGACATGGCAATCGTCCTAGTAAATGAAGGTTTGAGACGTTATAATCATGGCTCAGTATGTAACGGCACCTATGAGAAGGCGCACATCATTATTGGCGGATGATAGGTTATATGGAAGATGTAGTTCATCTACACTCCAGGTTAAAATCAAGCTCGAAGGTGAGGATTTGGCAGAAGAAGATAGTACTGAGTGTGTGAATCTAAACGTTGGCGGTGTATTGTTTCGTACACGTCAACGAACATTAGAAAATATACCGGATACGATATTGTCAAAACTGCATAAATCAGATTCAAATTATAACGCAGAAAAAGACGAATACTTCTTTGATAGGAATTCTGCAATTTTCCCATGGATACTTGATTGCTATCGACATAAAGAACTGCACATGCCTCGGTCATTTTGTGCCACTACTGTACAAGAGGAACTTCTCTATTGGGGACTTCAAACAAACCACTTCAGTGACTGCTGTAAGAAGGCACATTTGGATAGTCTTGATGAAATTGCAACAAACGAAATTCTCCTTCAAGAGTTTAATGGCATTCCTAAGGATGTGTATGCTGTTGAAAGTTGCGAAAGTAGCGAATCTTCCTACAGAACAGCTATATGGAATTTTCTGGACAAACCAGAGTCATCTTTAGGGGCGCAGGTAAGAACTTGCTATTTTTCTTTACATTAGATTAGGAAGCAAATACCTTGGCATATTGTAAAGTTGAACAGTATGTCATAATACTGTGCTGCCTTTACTGTTGGTGTTGTTGTAACCGGCATATCTAAGCAGACGTAAGAAATCGTAAATAAGAAGGCATAATTAGATTAATTTTGGAGATACTATAAAGTGTTACACTGATGGGTCTTGATGATTTTCGTAAATTAGGATACAATACTGAACGGCTAGATACACGCGTATTTTCTATGCCACTGTAGCACTGATCACACTTATTTCCGGTGAATACCAAGTTTATCAGCTTGTAGAACCGTCCTTAATAGTGTTCTACCTATATTCCCGGTATTGTAGTATGAGGACAAAGAATTTGTTTAATTCAAATATATTTTATTGGGGGCATATCAAAGCGATTGTCCACAAGTTCTTTCACCCCACAACACTACAATATACACTAATTAAAGATAGCAAGTGATGTCAACATTCTAACCTGGTATTAGTACTCATAATAAAACTGATACAAGAACCATCAGAAAGACGAGAAAGAAGTGGAGAAGGGTTCTGTTGCAGCACTGAAACTTTATCACTAACTGTATTCCATGGACTGCGCTAAATGAACTTTTAAAGTTTAACCATCCTGCTATCGATGGCTTGACAATATCTAAAGAATGTATAAGAAATTGCCAAATCTAAGTGTTACCAAAAACCATATCTAGACAATACCAGCCCCAAAATGAACGGCACAAACTGTCGGAGAATTCGTATTATCAAACCGTGTTTCAGTGGCTCAACAACAGACAATTGTCCGTCTTAATGTAAATTGTATATGCAGGAACAAGAGCAAACTCTGCTTTTCTCATACGTGTTTCCGATAGGTGTCCTATCAGAATTGTTACAGTGGCTGTACTCTGTGTTGTATTCGGACACATCCTCTACTCATGAATTGATTTTGGTATTGTGACGAAAGTGCTTGTTTTTATAAATATATCATGAAACAATAACATTATACCCTCCACTGATAAAACAAACACCAGACTATCACAGGGTGGAGTTCTTTTGAAACTATCCAGACTTAAACTTTTCAGGTCTGGTCATACCTCTATCTGACGCTCACTGCCCTGTCCATATTGACATTCTTCATAGAAACGCTGCCAGAAGGGAGAGTGAATGTTAGCCAGGACAACGCTACATACACGGAGACAGACACAGATATTACTAACCACAAGATCCGACTTCTCGTCACGACCGAACCTCATACTGCTCTTATGATCTTCGATGTTTTCTGTATGATCTTTTTCTCCGTTGAATTCATTGTCCGTCTGATCGTCTGTCCGCGACGGACGCGACTGATGATGAGGGCGACGACAATATTTGACCTTTTATACTTGATCCCGGTCTGGCTGACCACTATCATCTATTGGGCTGACCGCAAATTTTGGCATCACTCTAGTCGGGTCCTTGGATTATTGATCCTACAGGCTTTGAAGGTGATTAGAGTATTTCGCATTTTCCGGGTGATGCAATACTTCCGGGGCCTGAGGATACTGTGGCTGGCGTTGAAAGCTAGCGTCAGAGAGCTGCTTCTTCTTGCTGCGTTCATCTTGTTAGCGATAACAATTTTTGCTTGTTTCATATATTGTGCGGAGTTATCAAACGAAAACAGTTTTGACAACGCTGTAATAGGACTTTGGTGGGCACTCATCACTATGACAACGGTAGGATATGGCGACTACTTTCCGGAAACCTGGCCAGGTTACATTGTTGGTAGTATCTGCGCTCTGACAGGTATAATTCTGATAGGGATGCCAGTGCCCATTATTGCCAGTAACTTCCATGCATACTACGGACTGAGAATACCAATGGAACAGAGCAAGGAAGAACTGAAAGAGAAACGTATTCCAGTACGGAAACGAAAGGTGTCCCCGCTCAGACGAACGTAGGTACAGTGTAAGCATAAGACATACAATGGACACGACCGTTTACAACAATTATATCAACCCTGGGAGTACTCCATTAATTTGATGCGATTTGCAATCATGTTGCTTGTTGAACTTGATGAGAAAATTTCATGACGTTGAAAGATTAGCAAAAGTGATTACCGATTTAACACCTTATCTGGCATATTTATGTATGTGTCACCTATAGATCAGAAACATAGATCTGACATATTGATGTATGTATTAGCTATAGATCTGACATATTGATGTATGTATTAGCTATAGATCTGACATATTGATGTATATATTAGCTATAAATCTGACATATTGATGTATATATTAGCTATAGATCAGACATATTGATGTATATATTAGCTATAAATCTGACATATTGATGTATGTATTAGCTATAGATCTGACATATTGGTGTATATATTAGCTATAGATCAGACATATTGGTGTATATATTAGCTATAGATCAGACATATTGATGTATATATTAGCTATAGATCTGACATATTGATGTATATATTAGCTATAGATCTGACATATTGGTGTATATATTAGCTATAGATCAGACATATTGGTGTATATATTAGCTATAGATCTGACATATTGGTGTATGTATTAGCTATAGATCAGACATATTGATGTATATATTAGCTATAGATCTGACATATTGGTGTATGTATTAGCTATAGATCAGACATATTGATGTATATATTAGCTATAGATCTGACATATTGGTGTATATATTAGCTATAGATCTGACATATTGGTGTATATATTAGCTATAGATCTGACATATTGGTGTATATATTAGCTATAGATCAGACATATTGGTGTATATATTAGCTATAGATCAGACATATTGATGTATATATTAGCTATAGATCAGACATTGATGTATATATTAGCTATAGATCAGACATATTGATGTATATATATATTAGCATATTGATGTATATATTAGATCTGACATATTGATGTATATATTAGCTATAGATCTGACATACTGATGTATATATTGGACATATTGATGTATATATATATATCAGACATATTGATGTATATATAAGCTATATATCAGACATATTGATGTATATATTAGCTATATATCAGACATATTGATGTATATATTAGCTATATATCAGACATATTGATGTATATATTAGCTATATATCTGACATATTGATGTATATATTGCTATAGATCAGACATACTGATGAAAAATTAGCTATAGATCTGACATATTGATGTATATATTAGCTATAGATCAGACATATTGATGTATATATTGCTATAGATCAGACATATTGATGTAATGTATTAGCGAAAGAGCACTGGTATTTAGATAAAGAGATAGATACAGGTTAGATAGATGAAGATGTAATTTATGTATGATGTCACATTTTTCTCGCCATGAAATAAACATCGAAATGATTTTTTCTCAATAAAAAATAGTTTGATGTCGTGTTTTGTCGTGTCAGGAACAACTACTTGTAAATGTTTTAATTACCTTCAAGTGAATTGTGTTAAGATGATATAACCAGGTTGTGCATGGTATATTGACAGCGAACAATGACTGGAATGTCCATATGGATATTCTCTGAGAACGATTCTTACGCGGAATTGGTGTCTGATGCCGATGCCCGTATGTAAAAACATATTCTAATAAACAACGATTCAGTATGAAGCCTCTTTTTCAGTATGGCTTTCAACGCAAAAAAACATATATATACATATAATGATTTTTTTGGTTGCTCATAACACTAGTAACTTTTACATTGTATCCTCGCACACTGGTACTTTACACACTGTATCCCCACACCGGTACATTACACACTGTATCCCCACACCGATACATTGCACATTGTATCCCAATACACTGGTACATTACACACTGTATCCCCATACACCGGTACATTACACACTGTATCCCCAAACACTGGTACATTACACACTGTATCCCCATACACCGGTACATTACACACTGTATCCCCACACCGATACATTGCACATTGTATCCCCACACACTGGTACATTACACACTGTGTCCCAATACACTGGTACATTACACACTGTATCCCCATACACCGGTACATTACACACTGTATCCCCAAACACTGGTACATTACACACTGTATCCCCATACACCGGTACATTACACACTGTATCCCCACACCGATACATTGCACATTGTATCCCCACACACTGGTACATTACACACTGTGTCCCAATACACTGGTACATTACACACTGTATCCCCATACACCGGTACATTACACACTGTATCCCCAAACACTGGTACATTACACACTGTATCCCCACACACTGGTACTTTACACATTGTATCCCCACATACCGGTACATTACACACTGTATCCGCACACACTGGTACATTACACACTGTATCCCCACACACGGGTACATTACACACTGTATCCCCATACACCGGTGCATTACACACTGTATTCCCACACTCCGGTACATTACACACTGTATCCCCATACATCGGTACATTACACACTGTATCCCCACACACCGGTACATTACACACTGTATCCCCACATACCGGTACATTACACACTGTATAACCACACACCAGTACATTACACACTGTATAACCACACACCAGTACATTACACACTGTATAACCACACACCAGTACATTACACACTGTATAACCACACACCAGTACATTACACACTGTATAACCACACACCGGTACATTACACACTGTATAACCACACACCAGTACATTACACACTGTATAACCACACACCAGTACATTACACACTGTATAACCACACACCGGTACATTACACACAGTATCCCCACACACCGGTACATTACACACTGTATCCCCACACACCAGTACATTACACACTGTATCACCACACACTGGTAAATTACACACTGTATCCCCACACACCAGTACATTACACACAGTATCCCCACACACCAGTACATTACACACAGTATCCCCACACACCAGTACATTACACACTGTATCACCTCATTTCTCGTATCAGTTAATCATCTACTTAAGTGTATCCTTTTGAGCTGTATCCACTCATATCCTACGTCGATACACTTTATCTTCGTTGCGTGCCCGAGCTTCACTGGTCTCCATACGTTTGATTTTGTTTGTTGTTTGTTTGTTTATTTTTTTACGTCCAGTTCTAGAGTTTCCTAGATTTTACCGGGCTTCCTTACATGAAGAGGGTGTTAGCATATTTTGCTGACACCATAAAAATGTGAACAAGTCTGATAAAGAGTTTTAGAAAAAAAAATCTCCTTCAAGCAGATTAATAGTTTAAGTTTCTAAAAATCGTTGACGTTCTGGTCGAAAAGCAACTGTTTGAATTCCAGTGTCATGATGCCTAAATCAATAGATTGTTAACACGTTATAAGTTTCCTTCAGCTGCCTGTTTGAAAACATTGCGATTTTTCCCTACGTTTTACGGTGTTTAATGGTTTATCGGCTTTAGAGATCTGATGCTGTCGCGAGTGTCACACCTTCGGAGGCGCGCCGGGCGCTGATCTTCAACAGATACTGGCAATACTTAACAGGACAGGCTCCATAGTCTGGGGACTGTCAAACACCACCTACAAATGCTTTGGTAAGGGAACTATCATTTATTGAAGTTGCAATACGGGAGCCATCATTGTAGCCAGGTTATTAATTAAAGAGCATAGTTAGCACAGACCTTTGTCGTAAATGAGAGTGAGGAAGCAGATTTTGCTTTCATAGTCAATTTGATCAATGTTACATGATGATGCTAATGTATGGTAAAACTGTTAGAAACTCCTGACAATCAACAGCTGGGATCATTGTCGTTTAATTATTACTAATTCACTTTATTTCATTATATCCATGCTATGATATTCTATCTTACTGGAGGATTGATGTTTGACAGGTTTACAATTTGACATGACCTTACTAAGACGTAAACATGGAAACCCTAGGTAGTAATGATTGTAAAATTTATTATTTACTCTGAACAAATTTGACTGTCACTGGCTCGTGAACAGTTCAGAATTATAATGATGCTTGCTATGTTTCGTGTTTATCATTCATAAACTAATGTGTACTCTCACCTAACGGAGCCACTCCGGTTTCTTACTTAATCTCTTATCGTATACACTGGGAAATTTGTCCGAATTTAATCTTCAGTTAAGGATGTACTCCACAGAGACATCAAAAAAATATTAAACGTTTTTCTGATAATTTTTTAATGATTTGATCTGAGAAAGAAGATTAAAAGCAACAAATCAATACATTGTTGTACTACTTTTTTATGTACAGGTGTCAGGAAATAATTGTACAGGTGTCAGGAAATAATTGTACAGGTGTCAGGAAATAATTAATTTTGTTTTTATTTTTGTCAGGTGTCAGGAAATAATTGAAAAACAAATATATCCTGATTAATTTTGTATTTTGAAAAACAAATATATCCTGGTAACCTTTTTTCAAATAAGTGTCTTTCATTACAGGATAAAGGTATGATACTTCATATTGGATACTTGATATTAAGCGAAAATAATGTGAAAAATGCTAAGTTTTTATTTGCTTTAACGAGCTTTAAACTGCAAAACAATCAAAACAATAAAATGTTCCAAAATGACCTAAATCCTTCATTTGACTACATTCAATTATTGAACTATTGAATAGAGAAATGTTTCGATGATACTTTTTATAGTTATAAGGGAAGGAGACATCGTGATTTACTTTTTGCAATTTTCACCCAAAAAGACAGTTTTTTCCAAGGTCAAGAAACAAGCTAACTTATTTATTTTCGGGTTCTAGAAATCCAGGAAAGTGATTCACTAAGTCAGAATTCACATATTTGAAATGTTTGATCTGTGATGATAGTTCATGCCAAATTGAGTTGAAATCTACCAAAGATTGTCAGAGTTATACCTTACAGATTACCTTAGCAACCGAAAAACGTTGAAATTGACGCTACTAACCCCCATCACCCATCAACTACGCCGTC